TTCTGAAGAACAAACCTCAACATTAGCAACTAATCATGTTTTCTAATGGATTCTTCTAAGTTTCGGAAGGGGAACAGCTTATTTCAGGCAGCTGAAATATCAATTCTCTCTTCTCCTCCTCCCATATTTTTGTAAAATAAAGAGCAACTGTTTCCAAATTCTCACAAATTATGTGTGATGGCATGTCGTATACTAGAAATGTCCTTAATCCAGTAATCTGTCATATTTTACATTAGAAGGGGATTTAGCAGAAATTCTACACTCATCGTTTCAAGAACTCAAAGTTTTTGTGTCCTGCTATCATCCAGTTTCCATCCTCTTATATAAGCAACGATATAAGATAAATACTAACTACGAGTTGGAAAACTGTTTGGTGACTGACTTTTATTTCTTTCAGGCTGAAGGGACAGAAGTTGGAGAAAGACTGATTATCTTGGCGTTTAAAAAAAAACACAAAACAGCTTAAAAGGGATCTCGTTTATTTATTTATTTATTTTACAATTTTGGAAACAACAGCTGCTTATTAAACTGGATGTTACAACCGTGACATCATTATAGGAGTTGTTTTTAGTGAAAATGGTCCCATCCCCCAATGTCCGCCTCTCTGGCTTCAATGCGTGCTCCCGACACAAGGGGAACAGAATTTCATACAACACTGGGGCAAAGAACGTCTGGAAGTCAGTCACAGCTTCACATATCTGGGACATCCATCCATCCATCCATCTTCCTCCGCTTATCCGGGGTCGGGTCGCGAGGGCAGCAGCTTAAGAAGGGAGGCCCAGACTTCCCTCTCCCCAGCCACTTCTTCCAGCTCTTCAGGAGGAACCCCAAGGCGTTCCCAGGCCAGCCGAGAAACATAGTCTCTCCAGCGTGTCCTGGGTCTTCCCCGGGGCCTCCCCCCGGTGGGACGTGCCCGGAACACCTCACCAGGGAGGCGTCCAGGAGGCATCCTAAACAGATGCCCAAGCCACCTCAACTGGCTCCTCTCAACGTGGAGGAGCAGCGGCTCTACTCCAAGTCCCTCCCGGATGACCGAGCTTCTCACCCTATCTCTAAGGGAGAGCCCAGCCACCCTACGGAGGAAACCCATTTCGGCCGCTTGTATCCGCCATCTCGTTCTTTCGGTCATGACCCAGAGTTCATGACCATAGATGAGGGTAGGAACGTAGATCGACCGGTAAATCGAGAGCTTCGCTTTTTGACTCAGCTCTCTCTTCACCACGACGGACCGGTACAGCGCCCGCTTCACGGCAGACGCTGCACCAATCCGCCTGTCGACCTCTCGCTCCCTTCTTCCCTCATTCGTGAACAAGATCCCATGATACTTAAACTCCTCCACTTGGGGCAGGACACCCCCCCTGACCCGGAGAAGGCACTCTACCCTTTTCCGGCTTAAGACCATGGCCTCGGATTTGGAGGCACTGATCCCCATCCCGGCCGCTTCACACTCGGCTGCGAACCGATCCAGCGAGAGCTGCAGATCATGACCTGATGAAGCCAATAGGACCACATCATCTGCAAAAAGCAGAGACGCAATCCTAAGGCCACCAAAACGGATCCCCTCAACACCTTGGCTGCGCCTAGAAATTCTGTCCATGAAGGTAATGAACAGAATCGGTGACAAAGGGCAGCCCTGGCAGAGTCCAACTCTCACTGGAAACGAGCCCGACTTACTGCCGGCAATGCGGACCAGACTCTGACACCGGTCATACAGGGACCTGACAGCCCATATCAAAGGGCCCGGCACCCCGTGCTCCCGGAGAACCCCCCACAGGGCCCCCCGAGGGACACGGTCGAACGCCTTCTCCAAGTCCACAAAGCACATGTAGACTGGTTGGGCGAACTCCCATGCACCCTCCAGGACCCTGCTGAGGGTGTAGAGCTGGTCCAGCGTTCCACGACCAGGACGGAAACCACACTGCTCTTCCTGAATCTGAGGTTCGACTATCCGACGGACCCTCCTCTCCAGCACCCCCGAATAGACCTTGCCCGGGAGGCTTAAGAGTGTGACTCCCCTGTAATTGGAGCACACCCTCCGGTCCCCCTTTTTGAATAGGGGGACCACCACCCCAGTCTGCCAATCCAGGGGGACTGGATTGGCCACAGAGGAGCTTTTTAACCACCTCGGCGACCTCGCCCACAGAGATTGGAGAGCCGAGTCCAGAGTCCCCAGGCCCAGCTTCCTCAATGGAAGACATGTTGGTGGGATTGAGGAGGTCTTCGAAGTATTCCGCCCACCGACCCACAATGTCCCGAGTCGAGGTCAGCAGCACACCATCCCCACTATAAACAGTGTTGGTGCTGCACCGCTTCCCCCTCCTGAGACGCCGGATGGCGGACCAGAATCGCTTCGGAGCCGTGCGGAAGTCTTTCTCCATGGCCTCTCCAAACTCCTCCCACACCCGAGTTTTTGCCTCAGCAACCATCCGAGCCGCATGCCGCTTCGCCCGCCAGTACCCATCAGCTGATTCCGGAGTCCCACAGGCCAAAAAGGCCCGATAGGCCTCCTTCTTCAACCTGACAGCATCCCTCACCGGAGGTGTCCACCAACGGGTTCGAGGGTTGCCGCCACGACAGGCACCGACAACCTTGCGGCCGGAGCTCAGATGAGCCGCCTCGACAATGGAGGAACGGAACATGGTCCACTCGGACTCAATGTCCCCCACCTCCCCCGGGATGTGTTCGAAGTTCTGCCGGAGATGGGAGTTAAAGCTCCGCCTAACAGGGGACTCCGCCAGACGTTCCCAGCAGACCCTCACAACACGTTTGGGCCCGCCAGGTCTGACCGGCATCCTCCCCCACCACCGGAGCCAACTCACCACCAGGTAGTGGTCAGTGGAAAGCTCAGCACCTCTCTTCACCCGAGTGTCCAAGACATACGGCCGCAAGTCCGATGAAACGATGACAAATTCGATCATCGAACTGCGACCTAGGGTGTCCTGGTGCCATGTGCACATATGGACAGCCTTATGCTTGAACATGGTGTTCGTTATGGACAATCCATGACGAGCACAGAAGTCCAACAACAGAACACCACTCGAGTTCAGATCAGGGCAGCCATTCCTCCCAACCACGCCCCTCCAGGTCTCACTGTCATTGCCCACGTGAGCGTTGAAGTCTCCCAGCAGAACTGGAAGATAAAGATGTGGGACATCAGTTTTTTTAGCAGCAGCTGTTGGTAATGCTACAGGGAATGTAGCTGTCGTGGGAAAAAAGTATTCAACTATTCATCCTAGTTAAATAAACGGATGCTACATAATGCATAATGCTACAGGGAATGTAACATTACGGGAATGCTACAGGCTGCTTTCCTGCGCATGCTACCAACAAGAGAGATCTGGGGCTCTTGGCGAAACATCCGGGGGTGTAGCCCACCCCTGGATCCTCCACTGGATTTCATCCTTTTTTTTGTTATGTAAAATTTCATTATAGGGAAATGTAGCCTCTGTTGGAACAGTAATTACAAAGTATTAATCAAACCTGGGAGCTGGCCATGAGACAGACACATCGCAGATGACAGAGTGCTGTGATCACTTCTGAATTAAATTAAAATCCTGAAACCTGCCGACGGAATATGTTCGCTTTTATTGCCGGTATCTTGGTGCCTGCAGTTTAAATTATTTAGATGAAAAACACCTGCCAGCCGCCGTGGTGAACCCGGAGGCTGCTCGGCCTAGAGGCTGCTGATGAAAGGATTTCTACTGTCTGCGCACCGCTGGTATGTGGGGGTCTGAGCGCCTCCGACAGAAATAGAAAATCTGGATGAACTAACTGTAATTATTAAGTTTTCAGGTGGACTTTCTCACTTAAAAACATATTAAAACTACTTTATTCCCACTGATCACAGCAAATATAGCTGCAAGATTTAGATTATTTAGATGAAAAACACCTGCCAGCCGCCGCGGTGAACCCCGAGGAGACCCGGCCCAGAGGCTGCTGTTGAATTAAGTTTTCAGGTAGAAAAATAGAGCGGGAGCAAAACTGAGTATGACTGTGCTTTATTCAAGTATTTATTACAAGGTATTAATCAAACCCATCAAAGTCATCATCCTCTGTTTCTGAATTAAACAGCTGCGCTAAATCAGAAATGCCAATTTCCCCTTCTTCGCTGTCAGAGTCACTTTCCGTGCCGCGCGGCTCCTCAGAAATAATGCCGGCTTTTGCGAAAGCTCGAACAACAGAGATAGCAGACACATTAGTCCAAGCATCAACAATCCATCCGCTAACGGTGGCGTAACTTGCCCAGAGCTGCCTTCTACTTATCGTGAAACTGTGGTCTCTGTCTGTCATCCATCGCTCCCACGCCGCTCGCAGCCTTACTTTGAACGGCCGGTTCACACGTCGAGCGGTTGAAGTTCCTTTGTCAGACCTCCTGGGATAACAGCGTTCATTTGATTCACCTTTTTTTTCACATCGGCTGTGAGATGGGCACGCAGTCACAGATTAACAGCGATGGTGGTGCGTGGAAAAAACCACCTGGTCTCCTCACATACACCTGCCTCAGCCACGCTTTCATCATCCCCTCATCCATCCAGCCTTTTTCATTTGCCTTAATATCATATGTCATCAGAGCGATGTGTCTGTCTCTCTGTCAGCTCCCAGATCAGCTTCTCTAATTGGTTGATGCAGCGTGTCCAGCAGCAAAACTTCAATTTTTCCATCTCGAGCAGCAGCAGCGCGTTGGCAGATGCTTAAACGCTCCCGCGCAGTGCCTGCTGCTCAAAACGCGCTACGGGACCTTTTGCTGCGCCTATACGCGCGTCAACCATTGACTTTGCATGTAAACACGCTGCTTCTGCTGCACCTGCTGCGTCCGGTTCATACCGATGTCGGGCGGTTGAATAACAGCGAGCACAGCTTTAATTTGTTTCACCATGTTTTTCACATCAGCTGTGAGATGGGCACGCATGGAGTCACAGATTAATGGTGATGAGTGGAAAAAAAACACCTGGTCTCCTTACATTCAGCCGCTCTTTCATCATCTCCTCAATGAGGTGGTCTCAAAAGTCGCAGTTACAACACACATAGGGCGCACCGCACCAAAGGGCGCACCGCACATTTTGAGGGGGAAAAAAGACGTTTAAGTGCGCCTTATAGTCGTGAAAATACGGTAGTCTGATCTAAATCTGTATTTGTAGGTTCGGTGCTCCAGGGGGGGAATACAGTGGCAGAAACGAACAGGATTCTCATTGCATGTTGATGGGTGTTCAACCACGTTCAGGATCAACGTTGCTGGGTCTGTCAGGTCAAATCTGAGAAACCAAAGGTCAAAAGAAGAAGTGATCAATGTACAGCTGTGTCCCCCCCCCACCAAAATCTCTTCATGTTATATAACTTTATATACCATAAACACCTACCTTCAAAATCAATAATGCACCGAGAGCAATGGCAAAGGCAGCTATCACAATGTAAACACAGATCCTTCCCCCTGGAGAACAGAGTAGAAAGAGGTTATTTTCTTTTTAAAAAGGTAATTATTAAAACGTGTCAGACAAAGAAACTTACTATGACTTGGTTCTTTGTGGATTTCAGAAACTTCTGTAAGAAAAGAGTAAAACTAGTTTATGATGTTTTACAGAAATAGTTGCATTTTTATCCAAAAAGCAGCCTGATTATTTTACTGATACTTACTGTTGATCGGTGGCTGGGGACATTCTGGAACAGAAAAAACAGGATTAGTTAAGCCTGAGGGCGTCCTTTTAAGGGGGCTGGAGCTAATTTACAATATTAATAAGTTGTAGCTGACTAACTCTGAGACTGACACGCACTTTGTGTCTAAGACTCCTCTACAAGACTATCTACCTCATTCTAATATCCACCAACCACAGATCTAGAACAAAACAGAACAAAATGCAAAAAAAATAGAAAAATCACTCAGAAAACCAAAATACAATTTATACCCAAATTTATGTTTTGGTGGGCCTGGTTTCAGCCATGCATGTAGCAGCCATGAAAGATGGATTGGTTATGAGAGCCAACAAGACACTGAATCAGCCAAAGCCAAAATCACTAGCAAAACCACTAAAAAACATCCTCCTAAAACACCAGTAAAACCAAGCAAACCAAATAAAATCAGTCCTACCTTTGCTTTTTTCCATCAAAATATATTTTCACCCCAATAAAAGTCAGTTTCTGGAAAACATCCAACCGATAGCTTAATTTTTGCTAAAAGCTGCTTCTCTCTGTAATACGGTATAGGGACATGCCCATATTTGGAATCTGCATCCATGCATAAAACAGTAGAGGTGTCAAGTAAGGTAGTACAAATACATCCTTACTGTACTTCAGTACACTTTTTAGGTATCTATACTTTACTCCATTACTTATTTTTCTTCCTACTTCTGACTTCTACTCATTACATTTTCACACAAGTATCTGTACTTTCTATTCCTTACATTTATTAAACCATACTTACTCGTTACTTTTGGCTTTGGTTTAATGTTTATAAATATTTATTTCACGTCATGTGCGCCATGCAACGCAGATCATTGGCGCCATCCACATCTAGTGAAAACTAGTGTAATTGGATGAGTCATATAACGCACACTCATTGGTTAGCTAAGGGAAATGATCAGAAGCAAGCAGGTGTTCTTCAAACTGTAAACGTGAATTTTCTATGCCATGCTATAATGATGGATTCAGGAAAAGATGTTGAAATGTCTGAAAGGTCGGACACAGGCGAGAGCTTATTGGGAGACGGAGACCAACAAGACCTCCCTCATCCTAGGTCCTATATCAAAGAATTTTTCCAAATAGTCAAATAATTTAGCTTTCAGTTCATATACTGGCTGGTTTTTTTAAAGGTTACTTTATATTTTTATAGTTTAAGTAGTTTTTGGAGCACATACTTTTTCACTTTTACTTGACTAAAGAGGTCAAGTTGAAACTTCAACTTTTAACAGAGTGTTTTTAAACTGCAGTATCTTTACTTCTACCTAAGTGACAAATGTGTGAATTTTTGACACCACTGTAAATCAGGAAGACCTCTGCCATTTTCCTTATCAAATTGTAGCATAATCATTAGGTTCTGTAGAATGTAACGTTCCAAACAACTAGTAAGCTTTCTGATTTGAAAAAAAGATTATTTAGATTCACCTCTGTGTCCTTGCACATTTTTTGTGCTTTCTTTTATGTTGGTTGATAACAGTGGCAGTATGCAAGTTAAGTAAGGCCTTATGAAGTACGAGTTATATATATATATATATATATATATATATATATATATATATATATATATATATATATATATATATATGTCTTCTTAATCCAGATTAACCTCACTGTAATCTTGGAATTCAAAACTTCAAATAACTTTTTATATAATTTTTTTTTTTTTACTTTGTTTCGCAAGTCAGTTTGACCAAGATTCCATTCTGTGTAGGCTTTTTTTCCCCGTATTGCTGTTCAAAAAAACTGTAACTGTACTTTTTCAATAAATTAACTTTTTATATTATAGGTTCAAAGAGACACAAAATCTTGTTTTCATTAAACCCACTGGTAGTCTGTTTTGCTCAAATAGAAATAGAGGCCTGCCTTTATTCTGGCCTCCTTCCAATAATGGCCTGGACCAAGATGCACCTGAGTGAAAAAAGGGCCCCTCCTATATCAGAGGATTTACGGTATCTCATTAACTTTCAAATTAGATATATATTACAAGCATGTGGGATTTATAATGTAATTTTACTGGTCAATGGCATTTTTGCTATTCAATCCCTTTGAGCACAAGCTATAAAAAGATGGATTAACAACACACTTTGTATAACTGCAGCCATCAGTATTAACATCAATGCAGCGCTGGGGCCGATAGCCAGCGGCTACCACAGCAGGTTTAAACCTCCATAGAAATGGTCCATTTCTTACCGTGATTCCCCCGTTTCCACAACATCTTAAGGTCCCAGTTCTCCCTCACCATTCTGCAGGCTTTATTTCTAAAATACCTGGTCGGTCCATGGCTCTGCTCAGGAGTTGTTCAGGGACACCTCCATGCTACCTGGTATGGCTGCCCAGCGTTATGGAGTCTATGTGCCGGCAGGAAGCCGACCTGGACCGTACTGTATAGCTAGTTGTCCTTTACCAGTATTCTGACATTTATATTGCTGTGTCGAGAGTTGGAAGCTTTGGAGGCAGCCATGCTGTCCCCGAGCGACCCCTGATCAGAGACATGGAGGGACCGGGCATTTCAGCCACCAGGATGGTGAGGGAGACCTGGGACTGTATGATAATCCGAATGCCTGTTGTGGAAACGGGGAATCACGGTTGATGATTTAATACGTGCAAACATAAATGTTTGTGTCTATTCTATGCCTGCTTAGCGTGTTTTCCTATCCTGTCATTTTGGCTGATTGTTTACGCGACCAGCTGTTGGGAGTGTGCTGGTCGGTCAGTAGAGCCCAACTTATAGGCGGTGAAATTAAAAACTCTCAGAGGAGTTTCATGCTTTAGCTGGTGTTCTGTCAGATCAGCATACCCCATCAGACAAGAATACCCACAGTAATGCATGTGCGCGCCGTCAGGTCGCCGTACGCTTCAAAAAACACCAAAGAGTAAGTAATTAAATTGTTTGGGTTTTTTTGTACCTAAGTAAAAGAACTCATGCCCATTGAGATAGTTTAAAGTTTATTTAGAGAAGGGTCTAGCTGCACCTGCAGCCATCTACAAAACCCCCCTTATACACCTCCCGCCCAGCCAATCGATGAAATTGCTTTGGACATTACGTCATCTTTGATGCAGCGCCTTGGCGGAGCAGAAGGAAGGGAATCAAATGTGAGCAAGATGCCTACTACTAGCAAAGTGGTAGTTGGCCCATAAAAAAATAATAATCTTGTTCAATGTTGGGATTAAAGGAATAGTTTAATCGCTGATCAAATTGCTGTAAAAGTTTGCCACGTATTTTATTTTCTTATATCATGTAATTTTCCAGGGAATGCACATGCTTTAAATATTAAAATGATAATGTGAGAAATTGCATTTCTAAGTTAATTTGTTATGAAGTAGCAAACACAGAAAGCAAGGCTGTCTGTGATTAAGCCAGTTTAACTTTAAATTCTGTTTACCTCAGACTGTTTATTACATCAAGTAGCCTAGTAGCCTTCCTGTATGTTATTCTCTTAAATTTGTGGTAAGTTTATGTTGATTCTACAGTTATAGCACATGTGTAATGACTATGGGTACGCTATAATATAATTATTGATAACAGTAAGACACAGTATCTTGTGAATTAAGTTAGTTTGGTTAAATGTTTCATTTCCACTTTAAGAGGCTGAAAGAGCAGCTTTTAACTCGATTCTGTGTTTTCCCCGTTAGCATGAAAAGTTGTTTAACAGAAGGAGAAGTTACCCAAAAAAACTGGAGGAGGAACTGTGGCGATTTCCTTACCTGATTTGTTAAAGTGGATGTGTCCTTTTGGGCCTTCAAAAACTAGCTTGACGTTGCTTGTCAGGTTGCAGAAAACCACGAGGACAGTTTGTGCTCCTGCTGAGTCGTTGATGCATACGGAATGTTGGGAGAAGAACACGGAGGACAGGTTACAGGGAGCCAAATCTGAACCACCTCGGGCCCAGAAATGTCCCGTGCTCTGATGTTCATCGTACAGGATCTGAATATTTTTAGCCTCAGGCAGCGTTGACGTGTAGCAGGTGAGGTTGGTCTGTTAACAAGACAACAGGCTTCAAGAAAATGAGCAACAAAAACATAATCTAAAGTACAGCAGACTGGCTTTAAGCTGAGATTTTTCTACATTAACATAGCAATTATTTTAGACTGTTAAATATTTAGAATAGAAATGAAAATCCATTATTGTCCCACAATCGTGAAATTCTGGTGTTTACAGCAGCAAGAAGATTATAGAAAAAAGTTGGTCACAGAAATGTGGACCTTAGAAAAGTGTAGAAGAATAACATACTAGTGAAGAGTTAAAAGATAAACAATAAAATACTATACTGAAAAGTGTTCTAAGAATATAAAATGGTGCACCTGGAGAATATATAATCAATATACAGCTATGCACATTTTTACAGTAATAATTAATAAGCTATATTTATGTAGCTTAACAATAATCTTTTAAGGCATGTTTGAAGATTTGATGTTATTTACTTCAACAGAAATTTCACCAAACTAACACTAAATCATCTCAACAAGGTACCAGAGTAGAAAGTGAGGCAGAGTTAGTTGGATTGAGTGATCATTTTGAGCATATATTAGTAACTTACCTCCCCTGTAACGGCCACCACAGCCAGAAGCAGGGAAATAACCGCTGGTACGATACGAAGAGGCATTTTTAGGTGCCTAGAAAGTAAATGTAAAAGTTTGTCAGTTGTTATATTATTGTCACAGGTTTTATCTTTTCATATATAACTAATTCAGGTTTGTAGGCTGTTAAGATTCAAACAGAAGTGCTTTTATTTCTCACCATTCATACAGATTTCCAAAGAGAAAATAAGAGCTTGTTTAAACTTGGGGCATCAAACTTAATAAACTTGTTTCCATCAGCGCTCAACACACAAATATCAGTTACTCTAAAAACAGCAGCAGCCGAGCTAGCTTATTGGGCTAAAACACATGGTCATTTTTATGCATTTCATTGCTGTACGTAAATAAATTAACAAAATGTCCACATAATTAGTCATTTATTTTTAACACAACACTGACTTTTTTTGCCACAAAACTGCGGCTCTGGAAAACCTCCTAATTAACCTAGTGATAGCTTGGATTATTTAGCTCCTCGAATATTTTCTACGTTATTTTGAAAAACGGAGAAACTCCAAAATCTCACATTTAAGCCTTATTTATAGTCTGGAGAACATGTTACATGTTCTCCCTTGTAATTTTACAAAACAAAGGTCCATTACCTCCAAAGTTTCAGGAGTGATTTGTCATCATAAAACATGTTTGTAAGCCAAATATGAAGAAGCTGGGACCCTTTGTGCCAGATTGAGACAGAGGGAACAAGTTTTAGCAGGGACAGCTGCTTTAATCTGTTACCCCTTCTAATTTTACAAAAGAAAGGTCTACCACCTCCAAAGTTTCAGGAGCTGCGCTATACACTTCCTGTCTTACCGCTGCTCCTCCGTGCTTGTCCTTAGAGCACAATGACTCCCATTTACAGGTTAAAATCCACACGTTTTCTTATTAAACAGATAGAATCAAACTGCAGAGCTTCTACATATCTTGAAAGTTTGTTTCTGGTATCATATCACTGTTTCCCACAGGATTTTAGGAGACTGTGGTGGGAGAGTCTCTGACCCTCGGGGCTTTTGCACATTTTTAAGTGTGGCATATCCCACTTAAAGGGGGACTTGCCTTTTTTGTTACATTGGGCCCTTGATTTTACGTTATTACATCATGTTCTACTCACCCATATGAGTTTTGTGTCATTTGGAGCTGTTCCGAAGATATTCTGTTTATATCCAAGTAACATCTTCCTATGGGCAATGACTTGAAGGCACAAACTAAACAGTTCATAATTTATTCTTTATGGTACACCAGCATTCATAACATGTAGGCGGATCACTGTAAGATATATGAAAGTCTTAATGCTGTTTGTTTCCCAGTGTAAATATTATATATTGCATGCTTTCTCTTTCTCCTGCAGGGTAATTTGTGTCTCTTAAAAGTAAAAAAAAAAAATGAAATGAGATTTCTTTTACTGAATGAATGGTCACAAAGCTAGTGTTAAGCTTGAAGTAAATCAAATTTCTGCTGAAAAAGTGTGCCCCCCCAAAAAAAATGGAATGCCCCCCCTTTAATTTCTTTCTGGAGCCGGGTCTGCTTGGATATAACAAAACCAAATATCTTCAGAACAGCTCCAAATGACACAAAACTCATATGGGTGAGTAGAACATGATGCAATAACATAAAATCAAGAAACCAATGAAAAAAAAAGACAAAAAAACAAAAAAAAACGACGTTCCCTTTTAAGTGCATTTTTGAGGCCTTTTTTTTTACTTGTTCTTTTTTTCCTTGTGGTCCACTAAGTAGCCTACAAATCATTATCTTAGCGTTTGTAAATTGTTGGTGGGGACATAAAGAAAGTTACGCCAGTGCTCTACCAAAATATAAGTACAACTGTTGATCCATCAGCCCCCACCAACTTTCATCAAGTTACACCCTTGAACACAGGTAACATCAAAAATCCTTTTTTCCTACCAGCAGCACAAATATCCAGCATCCAAATACGGTTGCAGCAGCCCGAAGAGCACGGTACCAGCGCTCATCCAACAGAGATCCAACTGTGCATAACTGACCTGACCGGTGCCTATAGACGCTAATGACATAAAATGGAGATGAAGATGGCAAGGGTGATACGTTCAAGGGCCGGAAAGGAATATAGGGGCGGGGTTGTCATTAAAGGAATGTTGTTATTCATATGGGGCGTCCCGCCCGTTGTGTCGTTTCAACTTTGGAGGTCAGTGTAGATGATGATGGTACTAGAAGATACTCACCATTTTCACCATGGTCCTCCATGCTGCTCTGGTGCAGAATCAACAGTCGCCTGGAGAGGTGTCCAAATGTCTTCAAAAGACTGAGCGAAAGTCCGGTTGCCTTCCGACGGGGCTGCCGGGTGTGACAGATCCCGGTGTCGTGCCTCTGTCAAGGAAACTCATTATCCATCAGAGAATGAGAGAGCTGTTCGGTCTTTCTCCATTATTAATCCAAGAAGGAGCTTCGAATTGAAAAAAAGACTCATGTGTCAAACACCGAGTCGAAGAAAAAAACATTAAAAACAAAAACACTTTTCTTTTGTTTCTCGCAGGATTACCGAAGCCATCCGCCAAAACTTTAATCGGCACCGAACGAAACGAGAGGCAAGGAGAGAACATTCTGAGATGAGAAAAAAAGATTTTCAATTAGTGAGAAAATAATAATAATATAAAAAAACACGAACTATAAAATCAGCCAGACTCGTTCCTGGAAAAGGCGTAACACTACCACATCGCAGTTCACTTCCGTGTGTGTGTGTGTGTGGGGGGGGGGGGACCATCGCACTGCTTTCAGAGGAAAGGGGGCGGGGCTTCACTAAATTCTCCTTAGGTGTGATTGTGTGCGTGAATGGTTGTTTGTCCTGTGTGTCTCTGTGTTGCCCTGCGATGGACTGGCAACCTGTCCAGGGTGTACCCCGCCTCTCGCCCATTGACTGCTATAGATAGGCACCAGCACCCAGTGGTGTAGTCTACATTATTGTAGTGGGTATACTGCGCTTAGAAATAAGCATGCCAGTGAGTGCAATGTAATTGACTTTTTTTTTTTTAAGCATATTTAACATTGCTTAATTTCTCTGTTGCTTACATTTGAATCAATGAACAACAAACTGTACTACAGTTGGCTTTGTATTGAAAAGACGGAGAATCTATAAAACAGTACAACAAAACATGCTTAAGTATCAAGTACTACATGTAAGAACAGAAGTACTATGCAGGTTAAAACTGTGTCTATAAAATGTTCCAGCCATGTTTGTTTTAAAGCTCCTTAAGTTTCACTTGTCTTCTTGTTTCTGTTGCAGAGCGGTGGTTTCTTAACCATGTTGTCACATACTTCCTAGGTTCAAGAAGATTAACAGGAGGCCCATTTATACTGATCATAATGAGATGACTTATATTTGACAACAACAGAGAAGATCTTTTATCTGCACAGATATTGTTCATTAAGCTGAACCCTCTTTCACACTCAGCTGTGCTACATGGAATGGTTTGCATGCAAGTGATCAGTGGTTTAAGGTTTTGAGGCTCCCTGCTCTATCCTTTCTTTGCCTTGCAGCTATATTTGCTGTGATCAGTGGGAATAAAGTAATGTTTTTCAATTCGAAAGTCCACCTGAAAACTTAATCACTGCAGTCAGTTCATCCAGATTACCATCCTGCCTTGCAATATTATTTCTGTCAGAGCCGCTCAGACCCCCACATACCAGCAGGGCGCTGTCAGTAGGAATCCCATTCAACAGCCACCTTGCGGTTCGCCCCGGCGGCTGGAAGCGGTTTTCATGAACGTAATCCAAACTGCAGGCACCAGGATAATAAAAGCAAACACGCTTTGTTGGCAGATTCTAGCATTTTCAGTTAATTTAGGCATTAATAAACTGTTTCAGATGAGTGATCATAGCGCTCTGTATCATCAGCGATGTGTTTGTCTCCCTGCCAGCTCACAGATCAGCGTCTCTGATTGGTTGATGCGGCGCGTCGATCACCAAATGTTAAATTTTTCCATCTTGAGCAGCAGCGCGTTTGCGGCGCGTCGCACGCGTCAACCATTGACTTTGCATTTAAAGCTCCGGTGTGAACGGAGCATTATTGGGCACTTTTAAGTGGTTATACGGAAATTCACAAGCTTTTCTAGTGGGTATACGGCATATACCTGCGTATCACATAGATTACACCACTGCCAGCACCCCTCGCGACCCCATTCGGGACAAGCGTGTCAGATAATGGATGGATGGATAAATGGAAAAGGGGAGAAGTAGGGGTCCAGACACCGGATGCAGTTATTTGTTAGTTGCAAAACCGCCAATGAGCTGCCGGAGGAAGAAAGTACTTGCTGCTCAGCAGGGGCGGATCTAGAAAAATATTTATGGGGTTGCTAGAGGGGGGCAGGAATTATTTAAAGGGTGGCATCATATGACATTTGTTTACACTGAATTTAATCACACTTTGGTGAGAATAGTATGTACAGTAAGTGTTTCATGTGAAACAGTTCATATTAGAAATACATTGTACAATGTGATCTCACTTATTACGAGATAGAAGAAAGATAACACTACTTCTAGAGGGGCATTATAGGAAAGGTATTGAGTCGCAGATGTGTGAGATTGAATGTCAGAGAGGCAGCTTTGCAGCATTTGCACAAGAAGAAACTATAGAAAGAACTAGAAAAAGCTGTTTCGGAGAAACAGCAAGTGGGAATGCTTTTGCTGAATGAAACAAGCTGAAATTAATAGCAGAACATATGAAAATGTGATAGGAAGTCATCAGAAACTTCAAACTGCAGAAAACAATTGAATCATCTGAAGATTTTGTAGGGTAGAATCATTTGGCAGTAAAATGGCAGAAACAAACTCATCTTAAAAGCTACACAGCCAAACCATGTATAATATAAAAAAATGTCTTGAATGTGGGCACTAGAAGGGTCTTAATATAATGTCTCCCAAGTTTCTAGAAAAATGTATAAAGAAATTTTGAAGGGGGGTTTACCTACTTTCCAGAAACATGTTAGGCTTGTTATGAATTAGCAGCAAACAGAAAAGCTTAATTCCTGTCCAGAAAGAGAGGAGAATGAAGCCAAAGTTCTCAGCATAGGCTGAAAAGTATTAAATTAGCTGAATCAGAAAATAAATTACAAAGAAAAACTTGAATCTTATCTGGTTGAAGAAAAAATGAGTAGCTCAAGGATGGGAAGTAAAATGTTGAGGAAGATGGTATTGAATAAGTATCAAAATTTAGAAATTGTGGAAATGTCAAGACTTTGCAAAACAATTTGAAATGATTTAAAATGTGTCGGTTGATAAGCATAAAGAAAACAGTGTCATCCTTAGAGGATTGAAAATCTAAAAACCTATGTGCAAGACCGACCATGACAAGCAGAGGAAGGACAGAGAGAGAAGCTTATAGAAAGAGAGCTAATACCACTTAAGGAGCTGAATTTATCAAAAAATGTAACCTGCATGTTAAGAGCCGCTGTGTTGATGACAGCACCGTTGGCAGGCTTAGGCTGCATGTTACGAGGTTAGCAGATGCTTTATTACAGTGTAAATCTTAGAACCTGATTAAGAAATATGCACTGAGGTTTGTGGTCATCAGGCCTTGGTAGTGTAATTTGAAGAAATTGGTTGAGTTTGGGTCATAGGTACGAGCCATATGGCACAATGAATGAGTGTATGTAAGGAAGAGGCTTTTATTTTGTAGAGTCCCTTTAGTCTTATTTCGAAAGTCTATCATGGATGTGTGTTAAGGGAAGGGTCATGTCCTGCAGTGATATAGAATCCATTTCTAAATATGAAATCACTGGTTTTCCATGTTATTGGGTGAATAGATGCTGTATTAGAGCATAAATGGGAGACTTTTATTGTGAAATTCACTCTAGGGTATGTTTTGAAAAGGTCCCTAGAGTCTAATAGAAACAAACTGGTAGAGTTTGGGACATAATGCTGAGCCATTTGCATCAATTATTACGCGAGTATAATATAGAGGCTTTTATTTTGTAGGGTCACTGGAGTCTTATTTTGAAAGTCTAGCAGTAGTGTGTTGAGAAAAGGGTCAGACCCAGCAGTGATACTTGATGATTTCCAATCATTTAAAACACTTTTCCCCT